CTGAACCCTGCACCCCATGCTCAGGGCCACTGTTTGTTCTCAATATCTCTCCCCTCCTCTCTTCCATTCATCCATTTACTCACCCACTCATTCATCTCTCCACCTCTCCTTATTACACACACACACACACGCACACACACACACACATATAGCCATCTGTAGAAAGAATTTATCTTTAGGTGGGAGATTGGATTAGAGAATCTCAGTTTCCTTCCAGCTCATAAATTCTATGATATATATTTTACCTTAGACTATATTGTGATTATTTTTGGTACAGAAAGTATGCTGATCTTCCTAGTTAACTTGTTTGGCTTCACGGAAACATGCATTTCAAGGCTCCCATGGATCTAGAGATGGTTCAGTTCAGGCCCCCCATGTTTAGAGTGAGATGAAGTGACCCACAAAAGCTCACCTGGTCTAGAGCTTTGCCGGGATACCATCCTGTTTCACATTACTCATTTCACAAGTGGTGAATAAGGACGATGATTCAGCGGGGCAGCAAGCAAGAGAGAATGACAGGCTAGAATTAGCATGTCACCTGGTTTTGCCTCATTTGTATGCTGAGAGTCAATGATGACAATGATGGTGGTCACAACTCCTGCAATTCATAGGACCAAGATTTGGTGAGGTCATCTAATAGACCTCTTGCCTCCTAATAACTGATGCCTGATTCATTCCAGAAAGGTGCCTACCTGCCTTTAAAGAAATGCTCCAGGAATCTTGAAAACTCTTCTAGCTTGTATTTCTCCCTGATTTTAGCCAGTGTTTCCTCCTTGTATGTGCTTGTTTTCCCCCTGCATTTAAAAAATAAAGAACGACAGAACAGCATAAGGGTCCCTCAACTACACAGTCAAAAGAAGTTAGAGAAGCAAAAAGAAGTCAACTATGTGGGCATGCACAACAAGACTGACCATAACGGAGAAGCCAGTTTGGGGATAGTGAGGCTGGAAACAGCCAGTTCAGCCTTCACCAAGATACACACATATTCATGCTGATCCCGTTCCTTTCAAATTTCAGTACATGTGGAATGGGTGAGATTGAGTCACCTGGAGAGTGTACCAGAACCTAGTTCTTACTCTGGACTTTCAGTGAGTGGCTGGTTTCCAACCTTCTCTACATTCACTCTCTTTGAGAAGGCAAAAAATAAGACTCTGAAAATAATACTATCATTTATTGAATAACTACTTTGTGTCTAGCATTGAGGTTTACATATTTTATATCTGGGTCAGCCTGTGGTGTAATGGTGAAGACAGCTGGATCGCATATAGGTGACTGTATGGTTTGAGTCCTGCGCCCAGTGGCTTGAAAAGCATGCTGGGTGTATGTGTGTGCATGCCCAAAATCCTAAGAGGAAAATGGAGAAGAAGGGATTGTGGCATGGCCATTCCCCTGGTGGCGGGGGAGGTGCTTTTTGGCTTTCTCTCCTTGTCTATCTCTGGTGAGTGCGCATTCCCTACAGCCAAGTTTTAAACAAAAATTTATAAGATAAAATAAGTATTTTATATCACTTATTTATCCCAACGACAATGAAAGGATAGGATCGTTTCCCATTTCACAGATGAGTACACTGAGTTTCAGGAGGTTAGAGCAACGTCTCCAGGGTGCCTGACTGGTGATGGAGGTTGGCTATGAACTCGATTTACGTGCTCCACAGTCACTCACATGAGGAAAAGAACAGGAAGCATAATGTCCACCTACAGCCCTCCTTAGCTTCTCATTGCCCATTTCCTTGCTCCTCACCTGCTCTAGCCTATGAGATTACAGCCATGTTTCTGATAGTATGACCCTTCTCTGCCCACACGTGTAATCACAGATCAAAGGATGGAGGGTCCATCTTACACCGTGCACACACCCTACAAATGCCTCAGTCCTCACCTCCAGCTTGAACTGGGAACATCAACTAGGGATGGCGCTTCAGCCTTTCATCTGCTCTTCCGTCCATGAAACAAACACCGTTTACACACCCACCCACCCACAGGTTATGGTGTGGGCTCTGCCATAACACACTCTTCACTGCAGAGGGAGGTGCGTAGAGAGGTGAGTAGACTCGTCCCCTGATGTCCGGGTGCGCTGGCACGTCGGCCTGCCCCGTGGAGTTGGAGTGCAGAGTTCCCAGGTTAGCACAGGCGTGGTGACTCAGAGGAGCTGCTGTCAACACATCTGAGGGCATAGACCCCACTGCGCCAGGTCGGGAACAGCCCAGCTTCTGTGTTTGGCACATGGCTCATGCCCAGCAGCAGCAAAACTATGCCAGGGCATAGCAGAGATTCAAAGCCAAGTGAGGACAGAGCTACCACGTTGATAAAAGCAAACAAATGGCCTTTACAAACTTCCACTCAAATCCTTCAAAGAGGGTTAAGACCAACTCTGACCCCACTCTCACTGCCCACCCACTCGGCGCAAGCTCAGTGAAGAGCAACCCCTTATGGATATCAGACGATAGGCACAATTACCGAGGGCGGGCCCAGTAACACTGCAGCAGAAGTGAATGTCCTCACTGCAGTCTCTTGTCCCTCTTCACAATGAGAATAACTGAGTTTGAATTTATTATTCTATTCTGGAATCCCAAAGACCAGCCTTAGAGCAGAATGTATTATTTTTAGAACAAGGAAATGGAAAGGCATGGTATTGTTTTTCTTTTTCTTTTCTTTTTTTTGGAGAGGTTTTTGCTATAGGGTGCGTGCATTCGCCAGACAGACAGAGAGACAAAAAGCGAGAAATCACTCCCCACAGGGGATGGCCATGCTGCAATCCCTTCTCCTCCATTCTCCTCTTGGGATCTTGGGCATGCACGCACACGTGCTCGGCGTGAGTTTTAAGCCACCTGGTCCAGGACGTGAACTGCGGTTGACAATATGGGAGTCCAGCGACACAGCCATTACGCTAACTGCTGGTCCCAAGGCATGATATCTTTAAATAACAAGGGAAAGAAGTCACTTGGATTAGGAGAAATGGGGAGATGGGCATGTCACAAGCATGAGGACACAGAGTGGACAGGTGTAGATGGTGTGGAACTGTTTCGTCTGGGAGAAATTATCTTTGCCAGCGAGTGGTACACCTGGTCAATCTGCTTTGATCAGCCTTGTACTGGTGCCAGGGCTTCAGATTCTCACTTTATAGACTGGTCCTGGGTTTCTTGAATTAATTAAGGCCATTAATGAATAAAGACTAAAGCAATCATTTCTCAGGTCATGTGTCGAAATACACAGCTGACTACAGCACGTCAAATCAGTCCTCCAGCAGGTGACTTCTCCTCTGGGGAGTCTGTAATAAGATACGGCTTAGCCAGTTGTGGGAGTCCTCACCAGCTGTGACAGGCCAGGTCCTCACCCAGGCCAGGAATGAAGCACCAGGCTTCTGGGTGGAGTGTGAGTGAGCGAGTACACATAGAAACTGCCACACCCACACCCCACATACCACAGCAGGGTGGAGCCGTTTGTCTTACCTACCCTTCTCCTCATGTTCAGAAATGAGGAGCTTTGACAGTACTGGGGCCCAGAACTGCTCAGCAGACCCAAGGGCACCTTTCCAACAGCAGTCCCTTTATCTGCCCCTCACACCTGGGCACCCTGGACTCGGGCCACGTCACAGCCTTCACTACGATTTATTTCCTAAGGGGAAGCAGGGGTCATGTCTAGCCATGTCTAATCCCCAAGCATGTACCCACAAGTCTACACCACCTACCCTGCCCCCTTTTAGCATTTGTTCAACTTGTACAAATTGGTCAGGGAATTTTGGGAATAACTGTTCTGGTTAATAATGAGTTACTACGTAACTGCTTTCTAGAGAAAAAAATTAAAAACCACAGCGCTAAATATTATCCTGAACGACATTTAATCTCTAATGCTTCAGATGGCACTTTAGGGTCTCGAAGGGTATTCGGATGAAGTGACAGTGACTGTGGGTCCTTCGGGTGTTGTGTGGATATATAAGAACACTGGGGGTGCAGGGGGTGGAGCAAGGAATGAGAGTTGGGAGCCCCAGTCTCTCGTCTCAGCTCTATGGCTAAATAGCAGAGTGACCACAGATGAGTCACTTCCCTTCCCCAGCAAAGCTGGATGGGACCTTCTCAAAGGGTCCTCTCAGCTCCGATATTCTTTGAATAGCCAGCAGAGAATGTAGGGCATTGGTTTTCCACCACTGAAACCAAAGACATTCAAACTCTGCCTGTAATAGCACAAACCAGATCCAAAATAGTTCTGGGTACACGTGAAGCTTCTGGGCTGGGGCTCCCAACTCCGTGTTGAGCCAGCCCTGGTGTCAGTCACATACAGCAGTGAGAAAGCAGGACCAATGGGGATATCAGAGCCATGGTTTATTACTGAGCTTGTCAAGCCCACGGACGGGGACTCTCCAGCAGAGGTGGAGGTACGAGCGTGTGGTCACTTCTGCCTTCTCAGACCGACAGCTATGCTGCTATCAGCCCACCAGGAGGGTCAGTTACAGGGATGGGTCCTAACCTTCGACTGGCGATACTGAGAAGGCAAGAGTGAGGAGATAACAACCCTCCTCTTGGCTCCAGGCCTTATCTAGTGGCCTGAACAGCGAGCGGGATCCAGCAAGGTACAAGTCAGTCTTCAGCCATATGGGGACCCTGGGAGGCCCACATTTATGTGGCCCTGCATTGGCCAAACATAATTTTCTAGTTGACTTTTCTTTTTAGGCCTGGACACCCGTCTCCACTCAGTTCTGACGAGGGCAATGTAAGAAAATCTCCAACAGGAACAGAACTCTGAACAATGACGTCTGGTGTTACATAAATAGTTCCAGTGATATATACAGCCGACAGCACACACACACACACACACACACACACACACACACTCGCGGTTGCAGAAACCATCCTCAGGATGATCCATGCACTCAGTGGCACAACCACTCTGAAAATAAACATAGGCTTAGACTCAAATCTCTCCTTCCGCTTCACTTCAGAGAGCAGAAACCACAGAGAGAAGCCCAACCCTGCCATGCCCTGAGTTCGGGGGAGGCAAAGGCTTCTCCGAGAGCCCTGAGTCCCTCCCCAGCATGGGGGCAGGCCGAGTGCTGGTGGTGCTGATGGCAGTGCCTACTCCTTCAACAGTCCCAGCTTCTTCAGTGCCTCCCTTCTGTGCTCATCGGGGACGCCCTTCGGTGAGATCTTGACACTGACACAGGGGGGTCGAGGAAGCTTGTCACGGCTCTGTCCTTGGTAGGACAGGTGCTTGGAGCTCCGTTCCTGCTCCAGGTCGGCCAGCTTGCCCACCTGGATGCCTGCAAAGTCTTTCCCCGTGCCCAAAGAGGCAGGGCGGGGCCGGGAATTACGCAAGACACTGGGTGAGATCTTGTCCAGGAAGGAGCCCTTTCCCAGAGAAGTGCTAGTTTTGGGTCTGGGGTCTTTCTCAGCGGAGAGGTAGCTGCTCAGCCCCACGCCTGAACGCTCCAGAGTGTTGGACTTGAAGTTCATCTGTCTCAGGCCAGGAACGTTGCCCTCCTGGAGAGTCAGTCCCGTGTCTGGCTGTGGCCGAGACAGGGGACTATTTACCCTGGGGGCCTTGGGGATAGGGATTGGTGTGGATTTGGCAGCTGCAACCTTTCCTGGAGACGGTTCCTGGGTAGGAAGCAAAACCTTGCCAGAAGAAGACCCCTGAGCTACAGTCAGAGCTGGAGTCTTCTTTGGTGAAACCCCCAGAGCTGGAGTTAGAGTCGGGGCCTTTCCTGTAGGAGCAGCCGCTGAGGCCTGAGGGGGTGCCTGAACTGGGTCCTTGAGTCTGATGGAGGTGGTGGGCTTACTTAGGTGAAGCCCAGGTTCGTCCTGGTCCTGGGGTAGCCCCAGCTTCTCCAGTGCTTCCCTGCGTGCTTTCCTCTGCTCCTGCAGTGAGGAGGAGACCAGGCCAGAATCTCCAGGGGTAGCCTCGGTGTGGCGGACCAGCCAGCTCTGAGGATCGCTGTGGAAACTGCTTCGACTGCTCTTCAGAACAATATTAGGGGGCAGCTTCCGGGGCTTTGGGGCTGTAAGGGGGGGCAGCTGGGCACTCGGCTCCCCGCTCAATGGCCGGGGAGCGTTTTCAGTGCTAACGTTGTGAGACGATGTAGCAGGAGGGGGCTGTGGCTGGGGTTGGGGCCCCGTTGTT